GGTCTGGATTGTGGCAGATCTGAGATGCCTTGTGCAGATCACCTCAGGGAAGGAAGACTTTATGCCTGGCTACTGGAGAGCGGACAGAGATGGCCCTCAGTGGTCAGCCTCACTTTCAACTTGCCTCATTCAACATCACACCTCCTCCAAGGGCCCTGCATTCAAAAGCTGGTCAATACAAAGAGGCATGACCTGGTCACTTGGCAACTCTGCCCATCTCCGAGGGTCATCCCAGCCTCAGTGCTGCCCTCTGGGACTGCAGGAGATGTTCAGATTCTTCTTCCTGTGTCCCCAGTTGCTGATCCAAGAGCCTCTCTAATAACCGATCTGCTCGGAGCCCCCACAACCATGCAGGACCATAGGAACCATCACAACAATTTCAGCACCACTGAGTGGGACAGAACTATTGTAAGTCCAAGCAGAGGGACGGTGTGAGCTGTCTCAGTTTAACAGGATCATGCTGGCTGCAGAACTGAGAATGGGGGTCCTGGAGGGTGAGGGTGGGCACAGTGGGGAAAGTGAGAAATGGTCAGACTTTAGATGTCAGTGTGGTGACAGGGGACATGGATATGCTGAGGCTTTAGTCCTAAGCAGGTAGATGGATGGGGTCACCCTTGCATGACTGGAGAAGACTGGTCACAGGGGGTCTGGGGAGAGGATCATGCTGACTCTTTATGACTGTCAGATTTGAGAAGCGTGAGAGCAGGTGGTTGGATGTGTGGATCTGGGGCTCTAGAGGAAGTTTTACTGATGACAGACACACAGGTGGTTTTACTAGTCACAGAGGGACCAAGAAGGGCCCATGAACAATCTGTCTAGGCTGCCACTGTGCAGTGACGAAATGACGAGGCCCAGGCAGATGTGGGCGCTGTCTCCCAGTCACCACTAGTAGCTACAAGGACAAACACACATTAAAAATTGAGGACTTCCCCTTTCGTTTAGAACTCACTTTAGAAAAATTGTTCTTCTCTATGTCTTTGGAAAGTATGTGAATCTAGAATGTTTCTTCAAGGCTCTTGGAGCTATTTTTAGAAACGCATTTACTCAGGAAGATGACGTCCCTATTCTTATCACCTGGGTGGAGATGGACTTAACTGTAGACCTCCCTCCCCATAAAGATACTAGGAAGTGAATGAATTCATCTTGAAAATGGAAGTGATGTATTCTCTTGAGTGGATTTCCTGTGATGAGTCTTATTTATTTAAATTTATATTAATTCAATTAATTTAAATTAATATTTCATTCTCTTCTACCTTTGTGGAGAGGTTTTCTGGGTTGGGAGCTGATTTCGCTTTTAATTACACTTTCCCAACACAGCGTCTGTTTTTGTGTGCCCAAGGCTGACCCCCACGGGAGCCCAGTGAGTAGATGAAAAGACAAATGAGTGGATCACACACGGACACTGTTACTCCCATTTTACAGAAGAGGAAGCTTGAGGCTCAGAACTTCCAAGGATCTCAGTGAGAAAACTGAAGAGCCAGCTCCTAGGACGAAGGAGACAATGGAGGCGCCATGCGGAGCTCTGGGATCTGCTCAGGGCTGGGGCGTCTCTCCAAGGCCTAGGAGCTCCCTGCTCTTCGCATTTCCTCGGAAGGTAGCAGCCTTGGGCGCTGCTGAAATTTTTGGTGAAGAGGGGGATGGGAGGTACAGTAGCACTGCGCGCCCCTCCTTCATTCCCTTGGGTTGTGGGGGGAGCTTTCTGTAGGGGCTTCCTGGGCAGGGTGAGGGCCCGGAGAGGGGGCTCTGGTGGGCGATCCTCCCTCTGTTAGTCTCTGGTGGGGATCTCAGGGGCAGGGGTGGCCGCACCTCTCCGCTGGACCCAGGCTGTAATTTGTCGTTATATATAGCGGGAGGCTTTGTGCCAGCCCCGCGGGTGGTGGCTATAAGAATGGCCCAGGGGGGCCCACCCTGGAAGCCGGCTCCGAGGACAGCGTACCCACCCCCTACCCCCCGCGAAGACCTCCGGACCCGGTGTCCTGCAAGGCGGATGATGCCGCCCACATGGCCCACACGTTAGGTGTCCCACGCTCCCCACTGCCACGTGACCACATGATCTGGTCCATCTTCAGCACCCGAACCTGTGCTGTTTCGGCTTGCTAGCGCTGGTCCACTCCATTAAGGTGAGACATGGAGCCCTGCTTACCGAGGGAAGGGGTTCCCAGGGGGGCTGCTTCTCCATAAGCATGGTCTTAGGCAGTGTGTGGTTGGTTAGTCCCATGGGGCAGGTGCTGACTCATAGCTCCTCACTGTTGTTTCCAAGGAGGGTTCATAGGTTTGTACCACTAACCTTGTGGTATATAGTCCAGTGCTTATCCTACAGCACCACACTAGGACTCCAAGGTGGGTGTACTATTTAACAAAAGGTGGACCCAGTCCATTCAGAAGAGTGGAGTCCCAGTGTGCTTCATCACACTCTTCAGCTCCTGGGGTAGGGGTGAGGTCTCAACACCCCAGAAAGTCCCACTCACAGAGGAGCCTTGGAGTCCGGTGTTGGCCTGGGATGGCTGCGTGGGAGGAAGCAGGGGTCCCTGACGACCTAAGGCCTCATCAAGGGCCAAACTTCCGGAGATGGAAGAAGGGGCCATTGAAGGGCTTGTCTATTTCCTCAGGCTACACCCTCTATTCTGGCAGTGGATTCAGGAGCTGCCTGAGGTGGGCCCCCAGCCCACTGAGATGGCCATCTTGTCTGCAGGCCCGGGGCCAGAAGGTGGCTGGGGACCTGGAGGCAGCCCGCGTCTTGGTTCTAGAGCCAAGTTCTCCAGCCTCCTGGCTGCATGTGGACCGCAGTCCCACCCGTGCGGTGACCGGCGCCCTGCACCTATCTAGGCTGGCCGAGGGCTCCGCTGCCTTCTTCAGCACAAAATTCAATGAGGACACAGGTTACAACTGACCCCTTTAAACTCCCGGCCCTGAGAGCCCACCGAAACCCCTCTCTGGAACCCTTGGTGGTCCCGTGTTTTCCATGCTGCCGCCTGCCCCACCCTGGATTCCTAACTCGGGAATCTCCCTCCCATGGGGACCCCCGCGGGGGGCGGTGGGCTCATCCTAGCTTCAAGGGCCCTACCCAGGTCCTGAACTATGCCCCAGACTTGGTTTCCTAGCCCCCCAGGCTCAGGCTCGGGTTCAGAATTAAAACCCTCCGTTCCAGAAAGTGCTTCCCAGACGTCATTTCCGGCTGGGGGCGGGGTGGTGGTAGCCACAGCACTGTTCTGTCCCCCACACACTCAGACACCTGGCCACCCTGTGGCTTCTGGGCAGGGGCGCCCAGCATTTCAGAAGAAACTTTGGTAGCTCCCGAGAGCTGTGGTTTAGTGGTGTTCCTTCCAGAATGTGTGAGGTGGGGCTTCCTGAGTCACACACCCCTCACTGCCATTGGTGTGGGTGCAGCTGGTGTCTTTGCCTGGCTTGTGTGTGTGCTCTCCTC